TCCTGATCAAAAATAACACCAAGATTTTTTACTTTATTATCTGAAATCAGTTTAATCCAAATGCAGTGACTGACTAATCAGCAGTTCTGTTCATGTTAGTAAATATAAACATAGAGCCAGTTGTAGCTAGGCTAGTAGTTAAGTTAGCGCTGGGTCAACATATATCACCATTAATGCTAACTGCATAGTTTAGGGTTATATAATAAAGTAGATAGATAATGTGTCTCCATCAGGGATCATATCAGAGTTTCTAGTAGCTGAAGTGCTTGAGCATCTTTGGATTCATCAGATCAGTAACAGGTTTCATCCTCTGACCCAGATCTGACCCTCCTCGGTCTCCTCGGCGTTAGGTTTGCTTCGGACTCTAGACAACCTCAACCTTTAAATGTTTGTAAGCTGCAGGATCTTAACCTTTGCTTCATAAACCTCGTAGCTCTGCTGTGACCCACAGCATCATTACAGGATAAAACATCTGCGTGAGAGCCAGAGTGACCAGGCGGTCTGTGGGCCTAATCCCACATTAACGGGCCGCACACAGATTAGCAGAGAGCTGCAGTCGGCAGCAGCATCGATTTTATTCCTTAAATTATGTCAGAGCTGAACTGGGAGAAGCCAAACTACCAGAAGCTGAACAAGAACGTCCTTCTGCTCCTCAGCCCTGCGCTGGAGCCAAAGGTTCCTGCAGAGTGAAGAGGAACGGAAACATCTGGTAATGTTCCACAGATAAACAGGAAGTGCTCATTATGGGATGATTCTAGAACTATGACATCATTTTAATGTAAACTGAGTAGGTAGATGATCTCCATCCAGCTGCTGAGGCCTGCTGGTCTGTTTCTGATCGACACAATCCGACTGTTAAGGTCGAGTTCAAAGCTGCTTCCCGTCTGCAAGAAGATGGAGCCAAAGCCCGCCGAGCATCATGGGAAATAAGGTCAGCCGGATCAGGAAAAACTGAGCTCTGATCCAAAGACCAGCTGAAAGGTCTGTGTAGATGGAAGCTCCAGTTCACCATAGTGGGAACCATTATGAGACCAGTGTGGTGAAGATTCCCAGGATCCAGAACAGAACCTGAGCCTCATGGTTCCTGACTGAGAACATCAGAACCATCTGAGGTCAATGAAGGTCACATCTGTCCAGAGGAGGAAGAACCAGAAGAACGTTGTCCCGCCTTCTGATAGTGACGGACCAAAATAAAAAACCTTTAATCCCACATCAATAAATAAAAAATGATTTTATTTTTTGCTCAGATTATCTTTAATATGAAAGTTTATTGAATTCCAACATTTGAAAGTGACAGAAAAGCAAAATGAGAAAAATCAGAGAGGAAGGAAAAGTTTTTCTAAGCCCTTGGTTTTATGTGAAGTCAGGTTGGTTCCAGAACCAGAACTTTCTGGGCCACGGTCCAGAAGGTCCAGAGAACCACAGATTTGACCCGCGGCAGCCTGACAGATGGAGGCGACTTCAGGAGAATTCTGACAGGAGAAACGAACCAAAGAAGATCCATGCCGCCATGAAGCCAAGCAGAGAATGGAAGGTGTGGGTCCGGGGCCCCCCGGCCCCCGCTGACAGCTGGCCCTCCTCTGAATCCAGCAGGGTCCCGTTCCGTAGACTCTCAGTCCCGTTCCCCATCTCCTCCCTGAGCTCCTGCTGGAGCAGCTTGGAGATGAGGCTGTTGAAGCGGTTCTCCGTGGTGGACATGAGCTCCGAGGACGCCGTAGTCAGGTTGAGCTCGCTGGGGTCGACGCAGGAGCCGTTCACCGCAGGGAAGACCACCTGGCTGAGGTCCAGACCCGCCACTGAGGAGGGCGAGGCGCAGGGGATGTCCCGCACCAGCTTGTAGTTCTCCATCCACTGCTTGAGCCAGTCCAGGGAGCAGTCGCACTCCCAGGGGTTCCTGAAGAGGTACAGGTGAGCCAGGAAGTAGATGGGCTGGAAGACGCTGAAGGGCAGCGTGGTCAGGTTGTTGCTGTTCAGGTGCAGCGTGATCAGGCTGGTCAGGTTCTCGAAGGAGCCCTCCTCTATGTTCAGCAGCTGGTTCCTGTCCAAGTACAGGACCTCCAGCTCCATTAGGTCACTGAACCAAGTCCTGGACACATTGGTCAGCTGGTTCCCCCCGAGGTTCAGCATCTTTAGGCGGCTGAGCCCCTTGAAGGGGAGTCTGGGAAGAACCGACAGCAGGTTATCATTGAGGTAGAAGTTCTCCAGCCGTACCAGGTCCTGGAAGGCGTTGTCATGGATCACATTGATACGGTTCCCCTGGAGGTTCAGGTANAGGTTATCATTGAGGTAGAAGTTCTCCAGCCGTACCAGGTCCTGGAAGGCGTTGTCATGGATCACATTGATACGGTTCCCCTGGAGGTTCAGGTACCTGAGAAGAAGAAGAAGAAGAAGAAGAAGAAGAAGAAGAAGAAGAAGAAGAAGAAGAAGAAGAAGAAGAAGAAGAAGAAGAAGAAGCAGAGAAATGGAGAAGATAGAAGCAGGAGGTCAATGACCTGCTACTGTGGATGTAGAGGGAAGGATGGATGGTGGATGCTGGTTGGATGCATGGTTGGATGCATGGTTGGATGCAGGTTGGATGCAGGTTGCATGCGGGTTGGATGCCGGTTGGATGCCGGTTGGATGCGGGTTGGATGGGGGTTGGATGCGGGTTGGATGCAGGTTGGATGCATGGTTGGATGCGGGTTGGATGCAGGTTGGATGCAGGTTGGATGGGGGTTGGATGCGGGTTGGATGCAGGTTGGATGGGGGTTGGATGCGGGTTGGATGCATGGTTGGATGCGGGTTGGATGCAGGTTGGATGCAGGTTGGATGGGGGTTGGATGCGGGTTGGATGCAGGTTGGATGCGGGTTGGATGCAGGTTGGATGCAGGTTGGATGCGGGTTGGATGCATGGTTGGATGCGGGTTGGATGCCGGTTGGATGCAGGTTGGATGCCAGCAGGCCACGCTGCAGTGCCCCCTCTGGTCTCCAGGCGGCGCGGCTCACCGGAGGCTCCCCAGGTCCAGCAGGGAGTTGTAGGCCACGGCCTCGATCTTGTTCCTCTCCAGGTAGAGGTGCGTCAGGTTCTCCATGCCCCTGATGGCTCCTGGGATCCTCCTGAAGTTGTTCTGGAAGCAGAGCAGCTCCTTCAGGGAGCTCTGCTCGATGAAGATGCGGTCTGGGATGCTGAAGAGGTTGAGGTCGGACAGGTCCAGCCTCTGCAGCTTCTTCAGCCCCGTGAAGGTCCGTGTGTGGAGGTAGCTGATGTACTCATTGTGGGCCATCTTCAGCTCCAGCAGGTTGGAGAGGCCCTGGAGGTCAGAGGTCAGACATGAGGAGAAGCTGGACAGGGTTTGGTCCTGCTGGTTCCTGGAGTTCTCCTGAGGTTCTCCGCTATCAGAACCAGCAGAACCGTCAGAACCTTTTGTTGTGCCATATGCCATGATCATGGTTTTTGGACATTGGGAACCAGTTTCCATATTTCATCTTGACAGGATGACCAGAGAAGAGAACGCAGCCAGCTAGAAGATCTCTCCAGAAGTGTCAGAACTTCTGGATCCAGACCGGATGAGCCGCTGAGACAAAGAGGAACCCTGGTTGCTGCTCTGACTGCTGAGCTGCAGCTGGAGGAAAACTCAAGTCTTCCAAATGGAAAAGGACAAAAAGGTTTGCAAAAGCTAACAGGATGGACTGCATGCTACGCTATGCTACGCTATGCTACATTATGCTACGCTATGCTATGCTACATTATGCTACGCTATGCTATGCTACGCTACGCTATGCTACGCTATGCTACAGGAACATGTGTTGAGCTGTTGCTAAAGCTTAGACCAGCTTTATTCACTGAGGATTTAAACACTGATATAACATTAGTGTTCATGTGTTCCTCA